GGGGGTGGCCTGACCGTTTGAGGCTTCGGTTGAACCAGAAGATGGAGAGTCCGGTGAGCAGGAGGTGGATGGCGACGATGGCGACGGAGGCGGGGTCTTTGGAGACGGTGTATAGTCCTTCTTCACGGACGTGTATGAAGATAAGTACCATGAGTCTGCTAGCTAGTTGTACGAGTCCTCCTACGGCTCCGGCGATGACGGAGGGTGCGCCTTGTTTGAGGAGGCGTAGTGGTCCGGGCGGGAGTGGTTGGAGTGAGAGAAGGTTCAAGGCGAGGACGGCTGCGGCGGTGGCAAGAAGGAAGGCCAGTTTTCGGCCGTGTACTAGTTCTTCGAGGACCTCGATAACGCGCAGGTGTTCGGAACTTTCGCGCGGTGCGGAGACGGAGCAGAGAGTGACCCCCAAGACACAAATGACGACACAGACTAGACTTTTGTCGGTTAGCGGCTCGCCCAGACATTGCGCACTCAACAGCACCGCCAGGGCCACGTGGAAACCTGCGACTGGCGCTACTAAGGCGGCAGGTGCGAAAAACAGCGCCAAGAAGTTCAATACCTCATCCACCACATGGGAAATAACGAACCCGAACACCCAAACACACCGCCACACCCGTCGCGACCATCGAGGTACCACGGCTAACCGCCGCAACTGTTCGAACTGAAGCAAGGACCTTCTGACGATGATGTCTATAACGGTGCAAGATAAGGTAGGCCACCTTGCCACTGCTAGCCGACCAACGAACGAAGTGGAACTAACGGGCGTAAGTGTGACCGACGCGTGAAGTCTGACCACCCACCCACACGAAATGTGACTACCACACGAAGTCCGACCAGTCTAACCACGTTGGATTGCAAAGCTGAGCTGCCTAGATCGCAATGCTTACCACCTATAGCCCCCGAAGCGGATGAAAGGACCGCGAGACACATGCCCACACCCCACTGGTCGTGCCTAAGCTCGCCGGGTGGGTGATCGAAGAATTGCATTTGGGACACCGCCTTAAAAAACTACGGCAGAGACCATCGAATAGAACCAGGGTGGACTGACTCACGGACTTGACATCGGTGTCTTGGCATCTGGGTCTGGATCATGACACGCAAGACTGGTGGTGGACTCAGAGACCCGTGGACAGTGGCTTCGCCCTGGGTTTAGTCCTCGTGCAGAATAACTGAACTCCAAAGTAACTTAACCTCGCAGCGGTGGCAACAGTACATGGGCTGGATAGTTGTATATGTGATGGGTAGTGGATGGGGTTAAGGGGCGTTGTTTTCGAGTACTCGTTTTTCGGCTAGAACGAAGGACGTCTCGAGTGTCGACGGACAGATTCGCATTTCCATGATCCGGTAGGTCGCTTTTCGCGACTCTAACCATCGGTAAACCTGGGCCATGTTGACTTCGTGGCCTGAGGCGCAATAGGATGTGCCGCTGTCAGAGAACGGTTCAACTGACTCGTACATTTTTCGTCCACGCGATCGTGACCGTTGGTCCAAGCTGTCCCGCGGGAAGGCCGGAGAGCCATAAGAGGACGACATTTTGCCAGTCTTACCAGACGGCGCTTGGGACCCCGTTTGCTGGGATATTGCTCGCTGGGACATGGGTTCTTCAATGGTCACCGACCCTTCATCCTTAACCCACGAATCAGCCAGATCCGTGTCTGAACTTGCCCCAGCCGGATTAGATGGTAGCCAGTCTTCCAGACCGGATCCCCCACCCATACCGCTGCCGTATCCTCCGTCCAGACCGGAGCCGCCGCCCAGACCAAAGCTGCCGCCCAATCCGGACCCAGTACCGGAGCTGGGGGACCAGGGTCTGTTGTAGGCAGGCGACTTGCCGTTTTGACTAAGTAGTCTTGAGGACGAAAGCTCGTTGGCGCGAGTCCGGGGAGGCGACCGTCGGAAGTTAGGCAACAGGCCGAGTCCGGGCGGTGGTCTGGGCGTGGTGGTGGGAGTGGGTGTCCTTTGCAGGAGCTTTTTGGACTTGAGGGATTGCCTGGTGCTGAGCGGGCGCTCGGCAAGTCCAGCCGGAAGGACAGGTACCAGTTGGGTCGTGGGCGGCAGGCGGCTGTTAAGGCGGTAGCGGCTGCCGCGGACGGCGCTGCAGCCGGAGGAACGGCTGCTGAGTCGGTCGAGTTGCGCGTGGTACTTACTGAAGCGGTCGTTTGGCGACCGGCTTTTTGGCGACCGGCTTTTTGGCGACCGGCTTTTTGGCGACCGGCCTTTCGCCGAATGCCCGGGTGACGAGCGGCTGGGGGAGTAGCTCCAGGCACTACCGCGAGTAGTGTTTTTGCCTTCGCTGATGGGGGAGCGAGCTTTTTCGGCGGTAACGTCTCTACGGATGAAGCCGGCAAGTTCCGCACACGCGAGTGTGTCTTCGTCCGGTGAACGCAGACGGCGCGAGAGTTCCTCGATGCTGGGTGCGCTGGCCATGTGGAAGACTTCCTTGTGGCGAATGACTGCGTAAGCTTCGCGTATATCAGCTGCCTCGTCGTAGCCGCTTCGTCGTCGGCTGCGTGTCTTGATGACCCTGAGAGCTTCTTCGTCATATTCCGGGATACAGTCTTCGTCGGACTCACTTGTTTCCTCGACGGGCACGATGAAGCGACCCCAGGTCCCTAAAACCTCGACGAGTTCGGAGCCCGGGAATGTGGTCACAAGGTCTGTAAGTAGACGATCATAGAGCAGTACATGCGTCTCGCGAATAATCTCGCTGCCAAAGGTGATCGGCTCGTCGATTTGTTTGGCCGCGTATGCATTCAGCAGCACCTCATACGAGTGCCCCAGGTGCGCCTTCACACTCTCCAGAGTACCCACGGCGACAATCTTTCCCTGTTGCATGTACGCTATTCTGTCCGCAAGGGCTTCACACTCTGCCGGCGTGGGAGACGCCACGACCACGGCCTTGCCGAAGTTGCGTTTCAGATGGTCGACAACGTGCCAAATACGTTTCCGCGCTGTGATGTCCATGCCGAGAGTGGGTGAGTCTAGCACAAGAATCCGAGCACCTGTCAACAGTGATAATATGAACGATAACTTCCGCCGGTCGCCCTGGCTATAGCTACCCACTAACCGGTTTTTCATGTCCTTCAGCCCCACCATGGCCAGGGCCTCCGGTATAACCGTACGGCGGAGATATTCACGTTCAATCAGTCCGATCCGCCCGAACATCTCCAGCGTTTCGCGCCCCGTCATTTTCGGCTCCAGGACCGCGTCCGACTGGCTGCAAAAGCCCACCTTTCCCCAACGAGCGTGAGGATGCACCTGGAGGTTGACGCCGTTCATCCATAACCGGCCCTCGGTAGGTGTAGTCTTGCCCGAGAGGATGTTCAGGACTGAACTCATGCCACAGCCGTTAAGTCCCACGAACCCCAGCACCTCCTCCGACCGCACCGTGAAGTGCGAGCGGTCGCAGATAATGTAGCGCCGTCGTCCGAAGTAATTGGCCGCTTCAATAGCGCCGAAGTGTGCACTCACCTTCCACTTGCTGATCCCGTCGGCGATCAGTAAGTCGTCCTCTGCGTCAAAGTGTAGCGTCTTGGATGGAGACACCATGCGCTGCTCCTCAGCTCCGCACTCTAGTCGACGCACTGCCTCCTTGACTCTTTCCTTCTCCTCACGAACGCCAAACCGGTCATCGTCCGGACTGTCCATCGGACTCCGGTACTTCCCCACTAGGAACCGTCGTCGTAGCGACAAGAACGAACGTTTGTCCGCTCGCAACAGCCGCTTGTGTGGCGTTGCCGTTGTATTCCGACTCGCTTCGATCGCCATAAGAACTGACCTCTGCTTCGTCGCCGTCTCGTGATCGCACGCCACGCTGTACCGCGCATCCCCACGACGTCCGTGCCACGTCTGCCCCTTGAAGAAGTCTCGCACCTGCTTCGGTCGGTGCGGCTCGTCTCCCGGACTGGCCTGATGATTATCTCCCGGAGCAGGTTTGTAGTCCCCCGAAACGGGTTCGTCATCGGGACCAGTTTTGTTAGAATGCCTTGTAGTCCGCGCCGTCGCCGCCAGGTCTGGGCTGACCACCTGGGGACCGACAGTGAGGACGTCAACGGACTTGTTCCAGATGTCCGGGCCCGCTCGGATAGGTCCGCGGTTACGGTCGTAGTTATTTTCCTGAAGGCGTTCTGAGCGGGTTTTTGAGACGCTGTTGGTCTGTTCGTTTGTGAGAGGTTGGTGTCGTGGTTGGGTCCTGGCATAGCCCTCTTCCTGTTGGGCGGTTGAGCTAGATGCGATTAGGTGTTTTGCTGGACTGGATCGCCTTGCTGGACTGGATCGCCTTGCTGGACTGGATCGGCTTCCTGGGTTATGCGCACGGGGGCTTGGTCTAGGGCTGTGAGGTTGGAGGATAACCTTATTAGTATGGTCGGGTGTGATGCTGGATGAGGAGTGTTTCAGCTTAAGTTTTTTGCGGACGGCTGAAGGGTCAAAGCAGCGGAACTTTTTGGCGAAGGAAGACATCCAGGGGTCGTGTTTGAGGGCGTCTAGAACGATGACAGCACCAAAGTAGACTACGCATTCGACGGCCATGTAGAGGAGTGGCCATCCATTCATGTCGAAGGAGACGAACTGTGTTGGACATTTGTTCAGGTGGGGTCCGCAGGCGCAATCGAACACCAGAGAGTAGCATATCTGGGCGAGGGCCGAGTGGGGCACGAGTAGGAAGCCGTATGTGAGATATTGGCTGGTGTTCGTGGGCCCCACAGCATGGAGCGCGCCAACGAGAATGGGGATGATCACGCCACCACTCATCATCACGATCTGAATAGTCGTGCCAGAATGAAAGATGAACGACAGGAAGAAGGTCCCAGCGGCCGCCGAGACGGCAAAGAAACCCAGCGATAGGAACAACCAGAACCACGTCCCTGTCGTCAATAACGGAGAACCCGTAGCCAACAACGTTAGGACGCATAATGTACCCGAAATAACAAAGATCACACAATCCCACACCAACTCTCCGAACCAGTATAATGACAATGGGATGCCTGCCGCATGCTGATGGATCTTATTGCCCGATGAACGCTCAGCCGTTACGTAGTTACCCCACACTGAGGGTATCAATTCAAATGCCATCACATGGAACACCGTCTGCATCACCAATGCCCACGCCACTGGCTGGTTCACAAACACAGACGAAGGAATACCCTTACCGCTACACAACTCAGCTAACGATGTACCCGACTCGGAAGCCTCCGATTCCGATGCCTCTAACCCGTCTCGCCACGACATATCGGGCTTTTCGGCCCACGACTTCTCTTCAGTAATCTTACCCTCAGTAAACAAACCACTCACGGGGCGGTCAATTAGCATTCGGGAATCACTGGCTACATCCCACCACGTTCCTGGATTCGGGTCGCCTCCAGGGTCTGTCATAGGACGCGGCGAACCGTGATACGTACTCTTGGACTCGCCGCCGTCAAACCCCGGTTCGAATCCCACGTCGAACCCGGAGCCTAAAACTTGGCCTGTACCAACATGGTTGTCGGACTGCCCCAAACGACGAGTGCGGGACGACAGAGCGGCACTCGTGAACTTCGACTGGATTTGAGATTGGATTTGATCCACGACCTGGTCGACGATTGGGATGGAAGAGTAGATTCTATCTCCGCGAGGGGCGTCTCTAGCACTATCCCGTGGATCGAAGAATCCACTTGCGATTTCCATGGGTGAGCGTTCCATCAGTACGGAGTCTCCGTGTTTGTAAATGAAGTCTGAATATGTTGCGTCCGTGGTTGTGTCGTAGATCTGGTTGCGATCGAGATTGGGATATGGCGGTTGGAAAAGCCAGCTAATGTTGAAGCTCAGGGCCATGAGCGAAGGGAGAAATAGCTGGACGTATAGCAGCCAGCCGTCTTTACGCATGGTGTGCATCCGTTTCCAAAAGACGCCCAACACGTTCCTAACCATATGATTCCAAGCTGTCCTTGCTAGGTGCCATCGCAATCGCGCGTCCATGAAGACTGAGGGGTTACCAATGTAGCCAGGTACTCGGATTACATACTCGTCATCAGAGTATTCCAGAGTCTCAATGCTACATGCCAAAGAACTAACGTTATCATCACTCTTCGCGGTCATTGCAACCGACCCCTCCGCGAACTGGTCTTCAACAGAAGACGACAACGACGACAACCCATCCATGTGAATCCGGCTCATAAAGGAGGTCAAAGTCGTGTCTCGATTCCCGTTACGAGCCTTCCTCTATACACAGAGAAATATTCTTACATCATATAATTGACCATGTAAATGACAGTGTAAATGACCATGTAAATGACCATTACTTACTCTCTCCGCATCAGCAGCAGTATCATCCCAAATCCGTTCCAGGACCACTTCTAAGGGAACCGTGGACAACTGAATATCCCTAATCCCCCAAGACCTGTGTGAGATGAGAGAATAATAGATTCAGACGCGCGTGACTTCGATTGCGGGATATATGTAATCATGGCATAGTGACTCCAAGGGTCCTTGCCAACATCCAGCGGGA